TTCGTCTGTGTGTACGTTGAACATTGCCGCTGTGTCGTGCGTGTTTCGCATTGTGTCCAGGATATCTGGGTTCTTTTGTCAAAGGCTTAAATGGGTTTGAATATGTTTGACCAGCCTTGATGAAGAGCTCAAATATTTAAATAACAATTCACCAAGACAAAGAAGTTCGCGTTTATTTTCTTTGAAAAGTGAAGTGCTCAATTGCACTTCTGGTACTTTTATATATTGCTGGGGATTGCGAAGTTATTCAAGGCACGATATTTATAATGCGTTGTCTTGTCAAGTTTTCTCATCAGTTACTTATCAAGTTCTTGGTTTATCTACGGCCTGACTCCATTTTGAAAAAGTCAGATTTCTCATGATCAACACCACGTCAATTAATTAGGAAATTTAATTAGTTCAGTTTCATTGAGATATACCGGCACACAAGCATTCGTTTCGCGAAGTCGCACCATTTTCATTTAGACCCTACAAACAAGCACGTCGCTACAAGCCACCTTTGGTATTACTCGCGCGAAAGCCCACGCCAAAATCCAATTAAAACCACACTTCTATTTCGTACTCGAGCGAAAGCACAAGTGAAATTCTATTCCGGCTCCCGCGAAAACCCACGCGAAGGCCCAAAAGAAGAGAACAGCACGAAACCCAAACTCCAGAGACTCTTCTGGCTAAAAGAAAGACGGAAAATATCGTTGATTTCTTAATATGTTAATCAATCACAGTCAAGGCCATCACCATTTTTCTCTCTGTTTAGCGTCGTCCGACCGACCCAGATTTTCGCGTTTTCAAAAAAAAAAAAGTTACACAGAAGGCAATGACACATTATTTCAAACAATTATCACTTCAATCTAAAACATAAGCAATTTTTTGCCTTACATATTTTTAGTTTTCCCCTGTTCTCGTTTGATTTTAACGACGTCGACTTCTTCCTTCCTCCATTGCCGTGATGTTGACTTTGTAACCACACCTTGTTGTTTCCAGGCTCCACGGATATTACGCTGAGGTACCGGGCCTCTTAGCTCCAGACTCCTTTTCAAATTTTATTTTTGTTTTTTCTCCTTTTCCGACCCATCGACCCAAAATCAGAAAACGCATTCGACAATTAACGAAAAAAAAAGGGGGATGGCCCAATCAATCCATCGTTTATTTATCGTCTATGAGTAGGCAAGGGAAGGGCGGCAGTTGTCCGTTTCGTAAACGGTCAATGCCAATTTCGCGACACTTAGAAATTTTTTAACTATCAACGAATAATTCTCTACGAAATTAAAGAAAAAAGAAAATCTTTAAGTAACCACCAAGTATCGAACCCGAAACCTCTGTATCCTAAAATCTCTCTTCTACCACTACACTAAAAAGGTTGATCCGCCAAATTTCCGCAAAATTTAATTATAAAACGTGATTTTCTTAAATATGATAGAGTTGCCCCAACCATCAAATAAAAGCTAACCGCAAGCAAACCGGTGTGAATATGAACAATCAAGCATTTGACGAGTGCATTTTACTCAATCAAAAAATTTAAGCCAGTTTCTACCCTGTCCTGGCCTATGCTCAAGCAGATATGGCAT